GTGAAGTTCAGGAGGTTTGGCTACAATGTTGTGATGACGTACAACAGCCTGTCCTCCATCAAAGCTGTCAACTGGTACTTCTTCCAGAACTTCACGCTGAAGCTGTACAACACAGTAGGTGTAATGGTTACTGCTAATGGGAGTGAGAGCTGTTCATTTATTTGAGGTGTGGGGGTTAGAGGAATTAGTGAAGAAGGCTGAGTAAATCTGAATGATGATTATGAATGAAGGGAAATCAAGGGGTATTTTGATGAACTCAAGAAGAAATTATTTATTTTCTTAATTAGCCAAAGACTTCATGGGCCCTTCCTTCATGATGCTGTTCATTGTCTAAAGACAATAAAACCTGACTAACACACCTTGGTGATGCCAAATACTTGTTCTTAACAAAAAGTTGCCCTGCTCCAGAGCTTGGCAGAAAAATTAACCTCCCTCTGGGGCTCCCTGCCTCAGTCCTCAACAGGGGACAAGTGAAGTTTCCTGTAATTTGAATGAGGTGGACAACCTCAGGATCAGCATAAGGGCTCTTCCCATGTTATGTACCTCCCCCTAGCTTCTCTCTCCCTCCCCTGAAATGACATTCTGAAACCAGTTTGAGTGGTTAGCTGTCCTTCAATCATAGAGTGGCTATCATTTCTCTCTGAAGGCTCTGTGCTAGTTCAGAATTTTTCACAGCTTTTCTAGCTTTACTTGTTCAGCCAAACATTAGGTTACCTTAGGGCTTCCCTGTCTGTGTCTGGGGTCCCACAGGGCCTCCCAAAGATGGAATAACCCAGACTACAGGGCCAGCCCCAGATAAGGTCTCGTGTCTGCTCTTTGACATCCCTCAGTGCTAAGAAATGAGCGCTGAACTGGATGTGGGGGGAGGCAGTAGGTGGGAGGCCTCTGTGAAGTCTTCTCTCCCTGGGAAAGCTGGGGATGATGTGGTCTGTCACAGTGTCACCTGTGGAGTGGTGGATTCTTGCTCACTTTCAGGGGGCTGAAAGAAACGCTTTAGTTCAACCCCATTTCTCTGCACCCAAGAATGTTTAAGGGAAATTTCATTACAGAATCACAGAATGACTGATGTTGGAAGGGATTTCTGAAGGTCAGGTAAGACCACCTAGACCTGGTTGCCCAAGACTATTGTCTAGCCAGATTTTGAATATCTCCAAGGACGGAGATTCCACAGCCTCTCTGGGCAACTGTTAGAAGGGCTCAGAGATAAGAAAGGGGAACACCAGTTCCTAGACACATAAGTAGTTATTTCTGAATGTCCATAGAAAGTGTCCATAGAGAACATATCATAACAGCTTCCTTATATCAACCTGTCCCAAGTGAGCCAGGAACAGTGACAGGAAATGAGACTATAAGTAAAAATGAACAGAGATTCCCTTTTTCTTAAGCGGCTGCACCTGCAGAACAGGATTCACCTCACCTTTCCTAGTTGTATGCTATTTAACCTGAGCAGGACCAGGACCTGCCTGTTTTTCTCCATTGGCTGTAAAGGATCCCAAATTAATGGAGCTGATTATCCAGTTGATAATCCTTGTGATTTAGGGCCATTTAGGTGGCTGCTGAAGCAAAACAAACAGAAGCACCTGAGGTGAAGGCTGGCTCTTGAAACTCAGCTAGCCTGATCAGGCAATCAGGGACTGATGGAGGGAGTTTTGGTCTCCTGGGAGAGACTACAAAAGCATCAGAGCATCCACCTGCTTCAAATACACTCAGGGAGATACATAAACCAATAGGACACATTGTAGAGAAACTCTGTCAGACTAGAGGGTTGTTTGTCTGCATGTTTGTCCAGCATAAATTTTGTTAATGCCATACAGAGTATGGGTGCAAGCAGAAAGGTCTGAAGTTTCTATACATACACCTGGGAAACATATGGTGGTGTCACATGAAAAGTACAATTGTCCCCACTGGCTGTTCAGGAGGATCTACAGGGTCTTTACAAAATTTGGCCCAGAAGAAACAGCTAATTTATCAACCACATTGGTATTTTGCCTATTGAATCACAGATGTCGCAGGTTGGTAGCTGACCTGTGTCAATTAGGCTGCAGTTTGCCACAATACTGAAGCCATGGCTGGGAAATTGCTCAGGTTTGGAGACAGGACCTCCTTCTGTGCCATGTGTTGTACAGTAGTCAGTGTGAAGGGGACAGGTCTCTTGCTGAGACTGCCATGTGTGACCCTGAGATTTTTTTTTGTAGAAAGTCACTTCTGGCATGGAGCTGGAAGCCAGCAACGGAAAGATGCTTCCTACCCTGATGGTCTTTTCCAAAAGCCAGTGCTACCTGAAGGAACATGCCCTGAACACCATCCAAAAGACCTCTTTCCAAAGCATCTGCAACCAGGAGGAGATCACCCAGGTCATTACCATCCTGGCCATATGGAGTGCTGCTGCCAGGAGGTTCATGCAGCAAAAGACATGAAAGTAAGGGTTATCCCACTTCCTCAAATTATCTTCAGAGATTATTTACCCATTGAAGCAGAGGAACTCCTCAACATTTGAACGACTTGTATTTCAAATTTCAGTCTGTCAGGGAGAGAAATCTCCCATGTTTGGGGGTGGTGGGCGAGGGGACTTCCCAAACTGGCAGTAACAACCTCTCTGCCCTTTCACCCCACCACCACATAGAAATGAGACCCACAGGGATCAGTGGTTCAAGAACCACCACCCCAATGTGGGTCCTGGGGTGAGAGCTGCCTCCCCAACAGGTAGTGTTCATGCAGTGGTGATCTTGCCAACTTTGCTTGAATTGACACGTCTTTCTTGTGATTTTAGGCAGGACTCATCTCTGATATGATTTCTGAGAAGCTGATCATTGCCTTGGAGCCAGAGGCTGCATTGCTCTGGTGTAAAGAGCTTCTGCAGGAAGGGTTTATGGCAGACAGCAGTGACAGGAAGAAGCTTCAAGACTCCCTGGGATCCAGTATATTGTTGTTGACTGAAGAAGTAATTTTTTTCCCTGTTTAACAGGTATCATCTTTGCTGGGCATGGAGCATGGCTGTTTTGCAGTGTCCCCAAAGGTCTGCAGTGCAGTCCCAGAGCTTGTACTCCACTGCTGTGCTTGTCACGGGGATTTTATTTTTGTTTTTATTTCTCACTTAATGAGATCTCATGGGCAGGCAGAAAAATGGGAGGAAAGAACAGGACTGTCAAAGGCCTGATCCATGGCAAATGGAAGTCACTGAGTGTCTCATGCCATCATACATTTCAGGCCAGACGGTCATAGTGAGAGCTCCTGCTATTGCACCAGATCAGTCTGCACCGTGTCGCAGCATCAGCCACCGATGCACACCCATGTACTGTTGTACAGCCTGAGCTCACAGCCTCCTCTGTACAGCAAGTGTAGTGTCCAGTGAACTGGACAAAGAGATTAGCTGGCAGGCCCTGTAGATTAAATCATTAAGAATACTTGATGGAGCACTTCCTAATAATTTCTCTAGGTCCTGTTGTGAGTTTTTTTGCTGCAACATGAATTTCCTGACAAGAGCAGTCTGGTGATTGTAAACAAATGGCAAAAAGACATCAAGAGGAGCACAAGTTTCTCAGAGTCACACCACTGCTGCTCATCTTAACTCAGAGCTTGTACATCAAATGGCAGGAGTCAACTATCTATGTGAGGAGGCCAGTCTCCTTTTGCAATCAGAAAGGAGATTGAATTGTGTAGGGAGCAAGTCAGAGCATCCAGCTTTCATCAGCAATTACTGTAGGAACCTTGAGATACCAGTCTTGTAAACAGAAGTGAGTAAGGAGTAAGGTTTAGGAAATCTAGAAGTGTGCAGGCAATAGCAGAGGAGTGAGCATAAGAAAGGAAAGCTGGAGAAGAGCTCACTTGTGAATCAGGAGTTCAGAAGGTAAGATTATATTCAGTGCAAAGTGAGGACCTCATGTACTTTAAAGAAAACAGCTAACTTAATTTGTGTTTGTGCGTGTGTACGTAGACATCACAGTAAATGAGATCCAAGAGAACCATTACCTGAAGGAATTACACAAGGAAGCTGGAGGTGGATAGGGAGACAACAGAGTGGATGAAAACTTAACTGGTTTCCTTGAGGAAATATTCAATGATGGTGTATGGGATGAATATGTAAAGATCCACCCTACCAAATTACAACATATGATGTACAACTTCAGCCTACAGGAATGCTTTGCTAGCAGGGAAGTGGGTCTTACATATATTGTTATAACAACTTGACCAGAGTGGCAGAGTGCAAGAAGAACACGGACATGTCCAACTTCTTCAAAAAAGCAAAAGGAGCTGTGTGGTGCGATGAGGTGATCATGGTTACATATGAGAAAATGATGAACTTTTTTGACTACAGTGTTAAAAATATAATTCATATGTTGAGGGAAATTCTTGACAAGCCTGAGATGGCCAATGGTCCAGTACATTTTGCTTGTGGGAGGCTTTGCATCTAGCATCATCTTGAGAGATCGATCAGTATCTTAGCCTCTGTCCAATGGAAGCATAAGTAGCCATTGCAAAAAGGGGCTGTTTTATTTGGGGTCAATTCATACATTGTTGCATCGATAGTCAGTGCTTGGACATATGGCATGGCAGTAAGTCATAAATTTGATGCTGCTATCCATGACTTCTGTAAACTAAGGGTCTCAAAAGCTGATGGCTATATTTATTGCACAGATCTCTTCCAAAAACTGGGGGGAATTGAGGAGTGAGTGAATATAAATGAAGTTGCCCACTATAATTTCCATCCAACAGAACCAGATCAAACAAACTGCATGCTTTTATTTCCATTGTACAGAAGAGCAGGATGCTGGTACATAGATGAGGAGGGAATGGAATGGCTTGGCTCCTATACAGCACCGATGCCAGACACAAAGCTGGGGAAGAAACGCCAGCTGAAGCTGGATATTAAATTTGGGCTAACTGAATTTAAAGCCATTACTGAGATTACTTCCAAACAAAATCGGGCAGTTATAATAGATTTTTTAACTGGGTAAATGCTCAGTACATTGAGAAGCAGGGACAATAACACAAGGGAGAGCATGGCTTTAGTGGGGGGCAGTAACTACTACAATAGAGAAGGCAAATGGTCTATAAAGTCCATCATCCAGCCTTCTGCTTGCACAGGTAAGCAGTTTGCTAGTCTGCTTCTCTGGTTCCTTCCATTCATCACCAACCACACTTTCAGCCCAAATCTCTCTTTCTTCTGTTCTATCTGACAGCAGGTTTACCTCTTTATCTCTTGCCCTTCTAGCTTAGCCCCTTTGCATCTCTGAACACAGTAGTCCATACCACCAGTATAATCATCTGTACTCTACCTGTGTTTGATACAAAGCTTCTGGACTGGTGTCTAACTTTCACCTATACCAGCCCATAACTATTTCTTTTAGCCTGATGTCTTCTTTCAGTTATATCCTCTCTTCCTCTGATATCAGGTCTCTTTATCTGGAGTCCAGGTTTAACTCTGCCAGGGGTGACATTCAATGGATTTTGAATCTCTTCAGAACATAATTTACATAGATTGTGTGCAATTAAAGCACTCTTGTCTCAGTTAAAGGTGCTATGTGAAACAGTGACTCACAGTTTGGGGGCTTGTATCCAAAATCTTTGGGAGGGTTGTTTCCATTAAACCAGCTCTGTGTACTCTACATCTCTGACCCAGGCTTGATGTTTTCCATGCTTACAGCACCTTTGCACAGGTTCAGCGCAGTGTGTCCTGCATGAGTCCAAATTTGTCCAAGAAAAGGATGTGATCCTGAACGGGAGAGTGAAGTGCAGTCCTGTGGCAAGCTGGGAAAGCTGCATGCATCTCCCCTGGGTCTTTTGAACCCATGTGCTATTTGGGCTTTGGCATTCAGACATTGATACCAACAGTTGTGATTGCAGCTCCTAATTTTGTTTGATGAGCTGGTAATGTTGATAAGCTCAGATACTGAGCATGGAGCAGACGCAGGTGTTTGTCACCTCTCTAAGAGCAGGACTGAGTGTCAGCATGTCAAACTAAGCATCCGAGAAACCTAGCAATACCTGCTGGGGCGGGGGGGGGGGCTCTAACCTCAGTCTGACAGTGTGGGGGTTGTTGGGAAAAAAAGAATTACAGCTGCTGAGCCCCTTTCAGCCATCCTCTACAACAGGTGTGTCTGCTGAGCTGGGAATTATCCCCTGGTGCATAATAAATAGGGTGGTTTATTTATATTAAACATGAAATGTAAATAACAAATCAAGAACTTGCAGGGAGAAGAAAATACGGGCAGCTTTGCAGTGCCTGTGACCGGGGCTTCAATGAGCTCTGCAGGCTGTCATCGCTGCTGGAACCTAAATGGCTGGGCTGGTAGAAGATGTTGTCCGTTTCTGTCGCTGGAGCTTGCTGGCTGCCTTCTGCCTAAAGCACATGATTTATCGGAAACCAAAAGGAAACAAACCCCACTCTGCAGAACCGCTGCTGTTTCTCTGCTTCCCTGGCTGGGAACAGAGCAAGGAAAAGCTTAGCTGCCTCACACAGCCCGGAATACCGTGGCTGTGCTCCCTGCTTGATATTTCCCTGTGCCCTCTGCTCCTCTGGCCTGACCCTACCCCTGCATCCTCTCTGTGGCCAAGGCTGTCCCTGCAGTCCTGCCCAGCACCCCCGTTAGAAAATATTTCTCCCCATCCAGCAGAAATTACACTTGAGAGCATTGGCTTCCTTTGGGATATTAAACAAAGCAAACCATAGGAGAGGAAAAAGAAACCCAGCATGCATCCTCTTCCCCTGGGGTGGGGAGGGCTGAGTGTCAACAACAACATGACAACTTTATGATTCAACAGCATATTTTTCACAGCTATTCCATTTCAAGGCCAAAAAAAGAGGCTTCTGGAGCTTTTTTCTTTCAATCTCTAGAGAGCCCTGAGGTGTAGTACAGATGCATATAACCCTGTTGGAGATGTCAAAACTGTATGAGATATTACTGTGTTCATCTTACAAGGACTTGGCAAGTCATGTCAGGGGAAAATAGAAGATGATTTTCCAAAATAGTAAAAGTAACACTGGAAGGTGAAAGGATGGAATAGATAAGCATGTCACGGGGAGCATGGTGACATGCTTGAGGGCGTTGTTGTTTGGTTTTGTCTGTGCAAGAGGAAGTTAGGGACTGCCCTGTGCTGCTCACAGCTGGTTCAGCAACAGACAAAATTGACCCACTGCACCCCAAAACTGGACCAACCAGATGAGTTTATGGTGACTCTGTGGAAACATGTTTAACAAAGGGCAGTGAATGCTGAAAAAAGAGATCCAAGGGCAGGGCAGGTACAGCAACCAAAGGGACAGTGACTGGTGGAAGAGCCCATGCTGGAGCAGTTGACTAGGACACAAGGAGCAGCAAGAGCAAAGGGACCCCCCCCCACACACACACCAACCCCCAGCTCCTGCACCACCCATGGTCTCACCAAAGGGCCAGGGTGTAACCTGTGGCACAGGGGTGGGGGACCAGGACAGGGGCAGGAGGACAGGTGCCTAAGTGTTGTTTGGTTTGTTACTTGGCAACAAATCAATTTGTTTGAAATTTCCCAACTCAAACCAGGTATTTTTTGGCCCACAACAGGATGTCTGACAATATATCGAGTGAATGAGCACCTTTGTACTGCAATGTCCCAGACCAAGTTGGGGAGAGCAAAGGGGAAGTCCCCTAGCGGAGCTGGGGTTTGCTTGTGAACTACTGAAAAAAAAAAAACAACCCACCAAACCAAAGGGAAGGGAAATAAAGGGTGAACAAGGGAGGTGAAGAGGAGAAGTCTAAGAAAGCTAAGAGAGAAGGCTCATCCTTGAGAATCTGCATTGTTACCTCAGCTCAGGCCAGAGAGCTGGGCTCACCACCATGCTCTAGCTTCTCCCGCTGAGTCTTGTGCACAGCAAGTCAGGGTGCACCAGGATCTGCAAGGAAAACATGACACCTACAGAGAGGGGGAGAAGTTGTGAAGAATCATACACATTCACATCCCAAAGTAAAAACAGCTCTACCTCCATGCTCTGGACCTACCCAAGCCCCTTTCCCTTTGGCTAAAGTTGGTGCTGCTCTTTCTTCAGGAGTTTGCTCTCTCCCAGACCACCCATGACAAGCACCTGATGTGCGTTCTGCTCTTGGCCATAAACTTGGTGCTTTCCCTACCAAGCTCCTCCCAGGTGGTTTTGACTCCCAAGGCCTGGGAACTGCCAACTCCTGTGGTGCCATCCTTGCTACTTCCTCCATATCCCAGTGCTGGCAGTTGGGCTTGGCCAGCTGGTGCTTCCCTGGTTTGTGTTTGCCTTCAGAGGGACAGCAGTCCCACCATCACAGCATGCTCCACACTCCTGGGCTCTTCTGAAATCTGGGACATTTTTTCTGAGGATTTTGGGATGAGAAAGCATCAGGCTGTGCAGCTTTCTATCAGACCACTCTTTTCTGCAATGAAAAGGGAGAGGGAGGGAAGGAAGGGAATAATTTTGGTGAAGTTATCTGAGGTATCCCTCAGCAACAGTGGGACACAACCCCACCAAGATTGATTGGTCTCTGTGAGGTTATAAACATCACTTTGACTTGGGATATTGGGTTGGTTTTGCCCACCATGCAACACATTTCCCACTCATGCCTCTTCCTTCCCTCCTCTAAACAGACACAATCCAAGGCTTTGTCTGCACTTGGCATCCAGCAGCAGCAGCAGTAGTTTCTCAAGGCTCTTAGCCCTTATTTCATGTGTGTGCCCTGGATTTAACCAGAACATTCCTGCCAGAGGTTAAGCCCAGGTGCTGCATGGATAATCCAGGAATTTTTTTGCCTCTGGTTCCAAGTGACCATGATGATAACAGGCCATAGGTGCCATCTGCAGCTACACAATGGCCCTTCTCCTGCCCCTTATCTCTTTTTCCCTCCCAGGCAGGCAGAGCTTAGGTATAGGACAGAGATTCGAGCTGCAAACCAGGAGGATTAGGGTAGTGAAATGCCTGTGCTCCCAGCCTGGCTGTCCTGCATGGTTTATCTCCTGAGATAAGATGAGGTGACTTTACAGGGCACTGCAGTCATGGATGCTGTGCCCAATGCTGCTGTCACCATCCCCACAACACTGTCATTTTGGGCTGGTGATGACTCCCCACCTGCCTGGTACCAAGTCTGGGAGCAGCTGTGGGGTGAGCCCCTGCTAAACCAGAGGACTATGGAGAAAGCAGCGACCGTGGCATGAAAGCAGGACTGGAGAGAGTTGCTGGAGCTGGAAATTGGAAATGTTGGACTGAAGGACCAGAAAGTGCTGGGAAGAGGGGACTGCAGGGTGCCATGGTGCCTCTTGGGAGCAAACCAGGAAAATTAGTGCTTGGGCAAGGATGGTCCTTGGGAAAGAAAAGCCAAGCACTAGTCTCAACAAGGGTGAGAGGGGAGGAGAGCTGATCTTTTTGTCCCCTACTGAAAACTCCTTTTTTCCCCTTCTCAGACAGTAAGATCTTGGCTTTGGCACCTGATGCTATGGTGAGAGAACTAGTCCTCCCTCCTCATGTGGTTGGTTTCTTTCCTGATTGTGTGATTAGGCAGTCCTAAAGCCTGCAGAAATGTGACTGAGGGGAATGGAGACAGAGTCCATTCAAGATCACTTAAATCCCAGGGGCAGTATTTAGCGAGCTCTGAGAATTGGAGCAGAACCACCCTGCGAGGACCTCCCTGTCCTCCCTCCTGCTTCCAATGTCTCCTCCACCGTGTCCTTCACTGAAGCAGAGGTGCAAAGTGCCTGTGGTGTCTGGGAGAAGATGCTAGATATGGATGCTGAGGACAACGGGACAACTATGCTGGTCAGTTAAGGAAAAAGCCTATCCTGCTGCTAACCCAGAGGGTTGAAGGAGGAATGTCAAGAATAATGGAGTTACCACCTAGGAGCATGTCTTGATGTTTTTCTTGCAGCTCTTGCTGGGAACGTTTTGCTGTGGTTTATCCCACCTCAGGAAAGAAACAGGGAAGAGGAGAGATCCACACAAAGAAAAGTAAAAGGAAAGGGGGAAGGGGGCGGGAAAGGAAGAAGAGACAAGAACAATTTCTTCACCTGTTTAAGGTAAAGAAAAGAAAGTGTGATGTGAAAGAAAATGGGAACAAAATATGGTCCTTGTTTCTCTCTTCCCCTTTACCTCTAAACTCCCTTAATGATTTCTTTTTTAACAGTATGTCCTCGTTATTTCTCTTCTGATACTCCTTCAGCCTTTCCAGTCCAGAGCCCATTTGTTTCATTGTATTGTACCTTTCCTCTCTTAGTTTTCACTGTTTTCCTCTCTTCTTCCGTAAGACAGAAGTTTCTTCTATTCACCTTTCACATGTCCCCCTCTCAGCTGAGACTTGCATCACCTCCATATGCACTGAGCAGTCCAAATACTATTTCTGGTTATCATACCTTTACCACTTCCTCTGACTTTTTTGTATATCACATATTGTGCCTGGATCAGCCTCAAAAGCTCTTAGGCCCTGCTCTTTCCATCTGCTGCCTACACAGGGTCAGAAATGCAGCTACAAAATGCTAGTAGCATACAGTGGCTTGGCTCGCCAGGTTAATTTATTCTACAAGGTTTTGCCTTAGTGCCCTACAGCCCAAGCCCTGCAGTTAAAGAAGTTCCGGGCTCCCCAGTACAAGAGAGACATTGACATACTGGAAAGAGTCCAGCAAAGGGCCATGAAGATGGTGAGGGGACTTATGCATCTCTCCTGTGAGGAGAGGCTGAGAGATCTGGAACTGTTCAGCCTGGAGAAGGGCAGGCTCAGGGGGATCTTATCACTTTTTCACTGAGGTGAGGGTGACTGAGCACTGACACAAGTTGCCCAGAGAGGTTGTAGAGTCTTCATCCATTGAGCTATCCAAAAGCCACCTGGACATGGTCCTGGGCAACCAGCTTGACCAGGTGGATTGGACCAGATGACCTCCAGAGCTCCCTTCAAGCCCAACTGTTCTGTGACTCTGCAAAATGCAATCTGGAATTTGCTATTGCTGTTTCAGGGGATAACTAGTTCACCCAGTGGAATAAACTGGGTTTTTTAAGAGCTTGACCAAGACGACTGTAATTGATAAAATGCAATTCCTTTACAAGAGGCATTGAATTGTGTTACTTTTGAATAAAGTAAATGAGCAGTACCCAGTACTCAAACAACAACTCATCACAGGCAGTAAGGATGCTTTGGAATGGAGACTAGGAAGGGGTTAATTAACAAAACCAATAGTAGAGTTTCTCCATGAAAACACCCACTGAGAGAACAGTGGGCATATCTGATGTTCAGAACATTTTTGGGAGTATTGTGCTGTCACACTTACCCTGTGTGAATGCACTCCCACTTCTCTGTGGATTTTATTTCCACCTAACACTGAGGAAATGTTTACATTAAAAGCAGTGAAATAAATTCAGGATGGGTAGGTTTTAAGTTGGAGTGAGCAAAGGGACATGTTCTGGGGAGAGACAAGGGAGGGGACAGACTGTTGTGGGCACGGGGGCTGTGCACAGATGGGAAGGGCAAAGGAGAACCAAGAAATGCAGGAGAAAGAGGTGTCTGTTCTAATAAATAGAAGGAAAATGGTCGATAAATGCCTAAGACAAGGCCTGGAATGTGAAGCCATATCTGCATCAAAGCCTCAGTCCATAAATTAGGATGTGTCTTATTTCTCGACAGGATATTTACTGACCACCCAGACACAAAAACCTACTTCACACACTTTAAAGACATGGACTCCACCAAAGAGAAGAAACAGTCAGATCAGGTTGCGGGCCACAGCAAGATGGTTTTCACTGCCATCAACAACATGGGGCAACACCTGGACAACTCCAACGCTTTTCTTGGGACAGTGAACCCAGTTGGAAAGACACATGCTACTGATCTGAAGACTGACCCCAGAAACTTTAGGGTAAGCCACCAGCCCTCTTCTCAGGGGGTGTAATTGTGATTGGAGGATGTCTTCCTCTTTAAGGGGCAGAACTGAGGAAAACAGGCTTTGTATATATAAATACATATATGCTTCAGAGAGTGGAGGTGGTGGAAGGTGAGACAGTTGATGGTAGCAGATAGTAGGAATAAGAGATTTGGCATCTGTTGGGAAGAAGGCAGATGCGGTGCAGGCAGGTCAGCTCAGGTGGGAGCTGCAGAGCTGCCCATGAGTGGTAGTGAGTTTTCTCATGTGACAGGATTCCCATGCTTGTCATTTAATAACAAGACACAGAAAAGCAGCTTAACACTGGACTTCATATCTTCTTCATTCTTGATGTCTATTTTTCTCTAGTAACAGGAACTGAGCTTTTCTAGGACAACTAAGCCAGCTGTTATGAGCAACAATGGCAACAGCATTGCCATCACTAAACAAACACAGATAATAAACACAGGATCAAATGACTCCCCCTAAGGTCACTGGTGAAGCACATTTATAACTGTTTTGTCTGCCTTACACAGCACAAAATCTACAAAGAGGCACCTTCTGGCAAACGTCACTCAGGCACTGGAAAGGTGGTTTCCAAAGCAGTGGGCTCAGTTCTCAGTAAGTAGGAGAATAAGTGAAGATTTTTACCTGGGGAGATCCTCAAAAGACTTTTTCAGGGTAAAGATGAATACAAAAGAATAAATGCTGCACAGAAAAGGAGCTGACATTTCAAAGTATACCGCCTACCTAGTGACTGTAAAGACAAACAGACCTGCATTGCTACAGAGTGTTAGATAGATAGCTAACAAGCAGGAAAAGATTAGGATGAAAGTTAATAGGTGTCCAACATGGGGCTCCTTTGGGCCTCTAAATGTTTGGGACAGTCTTCTGCCAGGAGAAGGACTGCAGTAGACAAACCAAGTGAACCGGTCCTGTACAGTCATCTTTAAGTGATGGGTGCAGTCAACATTAGCTAGATACAGGATAGTTAAAAAACCAGCACGGGTGACTTCATTTTTTGTTGAATTCTATAATGCACCTTATTTTCCATGACCCATTACAAGCTCTGCATGCTATATGCTGCTGAATTTTCTTGTACCCCTTCCTGCCCTCCAATAATCCCAACTAGAAATGTATATTTTGTTCTTATGCCTCTAATGTGGAAGAAAGTTCAAAGTCGTTGTTTCTTCCCTTCTCCTTGTTTAGATTATCTGTGTCATTATCTTTAAACTGATGAAGGAGAAATTTGGCAGAGACTGCAAAGCTTCTTTTGATAAGGTGGCCAGTGAAATCTGCGCTCACCTGAACAATGTCTACAAAGAGGTGGGTTGATGAGGATGCGCAATCTCCAACTGTTCAAGTGTCTTGCCAGCACTGATTTGCTGCTTTTGGGCCTCCAGCCAGAGTTGAAAGAATGAAAAAGTTTAAAAAAACCCAAACAAACAAAAAAAGGCTTATATAATGTAGATACCAATAATTTTCTTAGCAAACTGAGTTTCTACAGCTAAATAAAACCCACAGATACATCAAAGCTAAACCATCAAATCCTGATATGTTTTGCAGCTTCATTGCTGAAGGTGGGTTCCTCTAGCCACCATCCTTGAAGATTAGATTTTAAGATGATGACTTTGAGCTTGCTATTCCTAAGAGAAAGACTTGCTGCTTCCAGCAACACCAACCCAGAGAGGCACAGCAGCTCTTTATCTCAACTACCACCTCTCCATCCTCATGAATGACAAGCAGGGACACTATTTAAGAGGCACAGGTGTGGTGTTTTATGTTTGAACTAAAACAATGGGGGGGGTGGCATATGGGAAAGACTAACACTTGAGAAAGACACGGGAAAAGTCCCATCCTACACGAGCCAGCAGAGTTTCCCAACCTTGGCAGAGGTTTCTTGGTGCAGCTTTAAGCACAAGGGATTGCAACACTGAATGTGGTGAGCACTGGGTACCTCTGGGCAGGGACGAACGTCTCCAGTGTGTGGATTTTTATGGTGCTACTCCCAGCAAATTGCTCTGGCCACTTACCCAGGAGAGGGCAATTGTACCGAGCTTGTTAGCTCCTGTGCTACTCAGAATGAATCCAGCTGAGTGAGGTTGCTGCCTGACTGAGTGGGCAGCGTGGTGGTCTCAGCTCAGCGTGGGATTTCTACAGCGCTGCCCTCATCCTGTGCTGTTGTACAGCCTGAGCCTCCCTTCAACAGTAACTGAGTCCTGAACTATTTAATTGCTTTCCTTGTGTTCCTTAGACATGGTGAAATAATCAGGTAATAACTGTGAATAACCACATGCCATTTTGCTTCACTGTAACACAATAAACACAGAGAAAGCAGATGTGTCCTTTCATTTGTAGCCATGGAAAAGGCACTTGCAATGCAAGCAGTGGTAGCTGGTTACAGTGCACAGGTGGTATGGAGGGGGTTTACAGAAACCAGCTCAAGCTCCCACCCAGGCACCCATCACACTTGAAGTAATCAGGCTCCTCAGGTGGTGGGAAGGGAAGCTTTTCACTTGACCATGAAACAACAATTTTGAAAACAGCTAAAAATGTAGAATTCTCCTTCATTCAATGCATAGTTTTCCTTACCCATCCCATTTGTTTGGCAAAGGATGCTGAAATCCCAAAGTCCAGAAGATGAACGCTTGCCAGAGAGGGAGGATGAGGCAGGATGCTTTATTTGATTTGGTATTTTATTCAGCTTGGGGAGAAGGGGAAGCATATTGTAAGAAAAGAACAAGACTTGTAAGAAAATATTTATAGTCTCAAGTCCCCTTGAGCCATACAAGTAGTTTGTACTTGTCTGAAAATCTTAAAATAATTTCCCTTTTTTATTTACTTGCTTTGATGCACGTTAAGAACACTATCTGCCATGATGATGGTTAGCTGTAATGATGCGCACATCGTTGCCATAGACACCCTGGGCTGACAAGAGCCTGACAACACTGGCCAGTGGTTTAAGGCTCTTGTGTTCCCTGCTCCTGTGATGGAGAGAGGCATAGCAAAAACAAAGTGTGTGAAAAAAATCCAACTCAGGCTTAAGTAAAGAGGGAGTTATTTTTAAAATCCATTTACAAAGGGAGGGACTCATTAAATTTTAAAAATTTGTCTGAGTGGTTTAGGAGTACATGGCCCTTTTTAATTTTTCTGAGATTTCAAAGGACATCAGGATTCTTTCCCAACAGAGCATAAATTAGACGATATATTGAGATTGAGGATACCTGAGCTGGGTTCCCAGTTTTCCAGTAGCCTTACTGCACAACCCTGTCTGACTTTCATTGTACCTCACTGTGCCTCTGCAAAACAGTAACATTCACGTACTTGGGAGGCAAACCAAACACACTACTTACTGAACCAGTAAATACATGGTGCTATACATACTATACGTTCTCAGAGATAACTTTGATCTTGTGAAGAGAAACCTAAGGGAAACATCATACCTAAAGGTAGCAGGAAAAGACTTCCTGTAGAACACCACCAGGGAGTGAGACCAAAGCCCTCACACCAAGCTTCATGCTTTTCTCACAGCCTGTGGGACATCAGGAAGATCTGAGTGAGATAACAAATTTGTGATAGCACGGGTAGTATGACAAGTGCCTGTGACAGGTTAAATCAGCTAAGTGTCCTGGAGCCGTCTTTGTGTCTGACCTAAATAAGAACAGTGCAAACACATGGAAAATACTGAGAAAGGGGAAGAGGAGTGAGAGGGAGCTCATTGAAGAAGTTTATCCCCTTATCTAGAAAAAACAAAGTGCTTTTCCAGTCACGTTGCTGGAGAAAAAAAGCATCTCCACAAGCAAAACTTGACATTGTAGAGAAAACCAAACACTTTGCTGATTCAAAATGTTCCCTAAACACTGTAAAAACATATATGCACTTAAATTCAGTTCATCGACCTCATTGAATGAACTCTGACCTTCCAATGGAGGCAGCTTTGGGAAAGAACAAGGGATAGAAAATAAAGGATCACAGGCAAAGAGATGAGAGAAATTTAACTTGAAAAACTTCAATCACTGTGGTGACAAAGCAGAAACTTACCCAGAGGAAGGTGCATTTGCAAGACATCCCTTTGCAAATACAAATCAATTTTGGGATAAAATCCAAGAGTCCAGTGCTGTGCTAACAGCATCACCAACTCATTCTGAGACAAGGGCTATGAATATACCAAGGCAATTCGAAATGACAGGGAATGTTTTACAGAAGTAGTTAACCTAGCTGCCAAGAGAGTCTGAGCCAAGAAGCCTTCCTGCCTCTGACTGGAGCACGGGCGGTAGAGAGGCTCAGCGAGGTGAGCAAGGCAGGGAGGTCATCTCAGGTATCCTGGGGCTGCCAGAGAGGGGACTAGAGACCTTGCAGAGGATTTGGAGAAGCTTCTAGGAAACCCTTCTAGCAGGGCCCAGAGGAAGACCCTCCCTTGCACCCACTCTTTCTGCTGGAAGGCCAGTGGCATTATTGGTGGTTGAAGTGAAGGGCTGCTTGCGCTCCTTTGCTGTAGAGCTTTGGGCATAGGTATGGATATATCCCTCAGAGGTGTTGCTTTACACTGAAAGAGTAGGGGCTTCTTCTAGATGCTGTTTAAAACACCTAGTGATGGGTAAAAGGTGTTGAGGGTATGGCCCATATGAACATGCTGGGAGCAGCAACATTTCTACACTGTGCTTGATGCCAGGGTGGTTGCTTCTGTTAGAGCTGAAGAGGAGCAGGGGAGCCCTGTTAGACCTTCACTTCACCTTCCTGGTTAAACAGAAGGTACCACAAGGCTTGTAATGGCACAATGTGTTACGAGAATGGATTGCTGCCTACAGAAGATCATACTGAGATATGACAAGTAACATCTGAACTGGCACTAGGAGCCAGTGGTCCCTGGAAGAACAGAACAGCCACTGAATTCAAATGCTTGTCCATGAGGTGTGGCACTCAGGCATCTCATAAAAGCACAGGTGTGACTGGCACTGCAAACCAAACCAAAAAAGCCCCCAGACCTATTTTAACCTTCTCAGTTTTCAACATTGAAAAATCTTTTTTTTTTTTTTTTTTTTTTCTTTCATTACAACACCCTCGTTTAGGGAAAGATGCCTTTTTTCCTTTACCTTTGCTAAAGCTAATAATGAGATACTGAATATTTGTAATTAGGATATCACTGAGGCTCAGTTAACCTTATATGCCATACCAGAGCACTTCTGGCTTATGCAGTGAGGAAGGTTTGAGCCAGTTCAGGGCATGGTTTAAGCTCAGAGGGCAACTGAGCACCACACGGCCTCTCAGTCCCTTCTTCGCCCCCAGCGCTGAGAAGGAGGAAAGCAAAAGATCCAGAAACCTGAGATAAGGACAGAGAGGGATGGCATTATCCTTTAAGTCACAGGCAAAAAAACAGACTCATTAGGGGAAGAAAAAAAGAACATAAAATTTAATACAAAGAATAACAACAACAGATAACAGACAGAGTAGGACGGTGAGAAGCATTACCACATCTTGAAAACCTTCCCCCATCCATCCCTTTTTCCCCACCCTCACCTTATCTCTACCTCCTCGCCTCCCAGCAGCGCAGGGGGCAGAGAATGGGGGGGTGCAGCCAGTCCCGCTGCTTCTTCCACCTCGGGGTGGGGGGGATTGCCGGCATCCCTCCCCTGTTCCAGTGTGGTCCCCCTCTCACACGAGTCAGTCCTCCACAAACTGACTCCAACATGAGTCACTCCCACGGGCATGTGGATCACCCTGCACGTTGCAATCCTCCCAACACCAAACTACAACAGTGGGGGCTTCTTCCCACAGGGTTCTGGCCAACTTTGGGTGCAGTCACCTGGGTCAGTGTGGGCCCCCACCACAGACCAAAAATTGGTATCTGCTGCACTGTAGACCCTGACAGGTAGCAGGGGTGGGTGGCCCTGACATCTAACCATGGGATACAGGGGAGTCTTTGCACCAGCTTCTCCTCCTTTCTTCTATTCACCTCGGTGGAATGTTCTCTGTGCAACTTCTCCTCATGACTCCCACAGCTTCTCCCAGGTTCCCCTTCTTAAATATGTTGGCAGAACTAATTGACCCAGCCTTGGCGCAAAGGCGGGTCCAACTTGGAGCCAGGGGAGCTTCAAAAAGCTTCTCACAGGGAGCCACCACTGTCACCCCCTCCTCTGCTACCAAAAACCACCTGCCACTCACTCAAACCAGGACAACTGGTCAGATTGCTCATGGTCAGTAGCAAATAAGACTAAAACACACAGAGGAGTGCTTTTTTTCCTGGTACGAGCCAGCAGCATCATAGACTGAATTGTTTGCTTAACTCAGTGGGCAGTAAAAATAACAGTCCTGTTGTACCACAAGAGCATTTTGTATGCTCATCTTGGAGAGCCCAGGCTTCTGCTTCTGACATTCCTGGAAGCACCTCTCCAGGAGGAAGCAGTGCTGTGGTGTCTCTCTCGAAGGCAGCAATAGGGTGCTCCACCTCCCCCTGCACAACCACATGGGAGTGAACAAATCAGGGACATGCTGCTGGTGATGGTGCTGATGACCTTCATCCAGCCTCCCCAGGCTGTCTACCAAAGACAACATCTCAGGTCTTACTGAAAATAATTAAAGAATTGCATCAGCAGTAACAGCGCTAGAGTTTATTAAGAAGAAAGTAGAAAAAAAAGTAATCAAAGCAAAATACCCAAAGAGCGAGAACCACACAGGACTGAGTGAAGATTGCATTAACACTTTTTATAAGCCACTGCATCAGGAGAAACTAACCTCTACTGTTTGCTGAAC